TGTACTGGAGCCATAAGGAATTTTATTACGATTGAATGCGGTAAGAACGAGTGTTCAGTTCAACGCGACCAGAGCGACAGTGAATTATGACGTCAACGCTCGTGGCGCCCGGCGGGCGCCGAGTTTTATATTAAGCGTTTAGAAAACTTGTAATAATTTCATAATTTCTGGACCGATTAGTGTCATTTAAAAACTATGAAACAAATCATAAATACAAGTAACTATATAGGTTAAAGTCCAGAATTCTGTTATGTCCAAAAAGCTCATTCTGCCATAAGAACTATACTGTCGGCTTATCGATGGTAAGTGATATACTCGCCATTGTTTCCAGTCCAGTTGCTTGAAAACGTCTTTCAATGCTTCCAATGCAGCGAAGAGTTTCGGAAATATAATGTCGCCCTGTCTTACGCCTCTTTGTAGTTGAATCGGTTCTATATACGGAAAGCCATCGTAGCCCGACTGTACAAACACTTCAATAAATAAATAAACCGACAGTCAAACCTACTAGAGCCTTTGCAAAAACCGACTTCTTCGGGAGGGCTGTAAGTCGTCGAGTCTGCGAAGTATGATTCGTAATTACTCTCAAAAACAACACGTGATGCGGCACAGAAGGGAAATCGGTCTGTGATTCTTTAATAAAGCGTTGTCGTCTTTCTTGAAAAACCACCGCACTTTTACCCCGCGTCTCTGGAGTGGTGCAACCATGGAGTATGGAATTTAAGAACTTCTGAAGGACTTCAAGTATACCGGTTTTCCAACTGTTTTCAGAAGCTCCGCTTTAATTCCATCCCTGCCCGGGACCTTGCCTCTTTAAGGTACAGGAGAGCCATTCTAATCTCGCTCAGACTGACGTCCGGGATATCATCGCAATAGTGTTGGATGAGACTTGCCCTTGGATCGTTACTCACACTTGTGTGGCTAAAACGATGACGTGTATAGCTGTCCGTAGAACCTCTCAATGTCAAACAAATTCTCAGAATCTAAATCATCATCACTGTGGACAGTTAGTCTCGCTACCTTACATGCACAAAAATAGAAAGTTAAGAGAGATTTAGAAGTAGTATAGTAAAAAAGCTGCCTTTTCTTCCATACAAAAACAATACTATTTATATGGATCAATATTTGAATTTATAAAACATTTACTTCTAAAACACTCTCTCTAAACAGTCGCAAATCGTTTAATGAGTGGGCGACAGTAGGAATCCAAAGGAGTAGACAAAAGTTATATGACCTTTACGATGAAAGATTATATTATAATTTATAATAATAGTGTTTCATTTAGAGAATATGTAAAAAAATATTTCAAAATTTTTAAAGGCGGGTGTTGTGCATCCATGTTTTTATATTTAAGGAACAAAATTAAGAATGCCTCTAATAAAATTAAAATGACTTGAGAGTATAATCAATAGTGAAACTGGCAAGATGAAACTACACAACTCAAACTTTCAATTAAATTTTAACAATAATTTGACAAAATCAGATCAAGACGTTGCAACGGCTTTTAAACAACATTTTAACGAAATTCCGATCTTGACTTTGTAGTCAAGATCGGAATTTCGTTAAAATGTGACTTTGTAGTCTAGTGTTGCCCAAAAACGGTCTTGGTCTTGCAGTCTTGGTCTTGTTCTTGCATTTTTGCAAGACCAAGACCAAGAACAAGACCGCCTCTTTTTAGCAAGACCAAGACCAAGACTGACCGTGCAAGATTTGCGCAAGAACAAGACTAAGCTTGCGAGACTCTTGCGTCTTGCAGTTAGGACTAAGTGTCCTTTCAGGGAGTATAGGAGTTCGGGTATACGCTTAGGGAGTTCCTATGAGATACAAAAAAATATAATGAAAAAAAATTGGAAAATTGGACTTATGCGCATTGCGACCAATACCATAAATATACATAGCGAATGAAAATATCTATTAAAAGAAAAAAGAGTGCATCCCTAGTTTTGACCATCGGCACTTTGATAGTGCGCGGCGTCTTGTTGTCGGCGTCATCAAAGGTCGGATACTGACCTGTCAAATAAATTGTGCAGCTATTCGAAAGTACAAGGTCAAGATACACGTGCCGGCGGTTACTATTGATATCGCATACAATCGTCGCCGCCGCGTCACACGCACTACATTTGACACTGTTTGATTGCCGCCACAGAGTACATGTTTCAAAGAATAAAATAAGTTTCCGGGTGCTCAGAATGGACACGAATACATTATCCTGATCTCGCAAGAAATATTGTAATTAGATAATAGGTAGGTATCATAATAATTTATTCTAGTAAGTAATTATTATAAAATTAACTATATGGATTTATAATAATTACTTACTATTATTGTTATTATTATTACCTAAAAGATAAACATGTTCAGTAAGTTCACTGCAAATCTCGACTTTTGCAAGTGTGTGTTTTTAAAACACAAAGTGCTCGAATATGTCGTCACACATTTGATAAATATGGTTGACACCATAGCACTTTTAAAACACTTGAAATGTGTAAAAATGGATCTGGATCTTGTCTTCAAGGCTTAGTTATTAAGGAGTTGGAGGGGTACCTAGGTAAACCCAGAGCCGTCATCTCGGAAGACATTTTAGACTGTTGGAGGACGCATGAGACAAAATATCCGATTTTATCGAAGATGGCCCGTGATTTTCTTTTAATACCTGCAACTTCAGTACCTGCTGAGAGATTATTTTCTAAAGCATCATTAGTAATTAGAAAACATAGAAATAGGTTAAGTGATGAGTCAGCCAGATGGTTACTTTGTATTAACGCTTTGTCAAAAGAATAAATATAAAGTAACAGTAATGTCAAAGCTGTTGTGTACATACTGTGAAGTAATTATATTGCAACGTATTTTATTTTTTATTTAAATAAATGGTATATTGTATAACTCTTTTTTCCATTTCATATATGGTGAGGGTCCATCAATCTCTTTCTAGAGAGATAATGTTATTTAAAATACAGTGTAGTTATTGCCATTAATTTGTTTTTATATGTATGTTTAACCATGTTTTAACACATGTAAGCTTATTAAATGTAAACGTTTATTAAGAAACTGACGCCCGTGGCTGTGGGACACGGTAGATAGCTCAGTTGGTTAGAGCATCAGCACGGATCGCTTAGGTCGTGGGTTCAAACCCCACCCGGTGTCAGTTGATTTTTCGAATTTCTCATTAAATGTTTAGACATTTATTAATAGGGTTGGTCTTTACTATGGCTATGTTAATTCAAGCTCAATATGTACCTACTCTGTTAAGTTGTTCTAAGATCTAAAGTAACGTTTAATAAATAGTAATAGGCTAATAGGTCATTGCGAGACTTGCGAGACTCTTGCTGCAAGACCAAGACCAAGACCAAGACTGGGAGCGCAATACCAAGACCAAGACCAGGTGTATTGGCGCAAGACCAAGACCAAGACTTGCTAAGTCTCGTCTTGTTCCTGCATTTGGGCATCACTATTGTAGTCACTCAATTCTCCCCTGCTGTCGCCGAGTCATTACTCAAACAAAATGTCTGTAAAAAAGAATTTGCATTTCATAGAATGTTATCAGGTGATATTGTAAAACTTTAAAAACTATGGATATTAAGAAAACAGCGGATCGCCCCCAACTTGCTATTATTTTCAATGCTATGCATATAAATCATATGCTTATATCGAATCTGGTGTGTTTCGTGATTTAATGAAACATTGTAAAGTTATACTTTTATTTAAATCTGGCAGTACCTACAATGAACCCAACTAATTTTAGACCTATTTCTGTACTGCCAACGCTCGGTAAAAATGTTCACAAATTATTCGAGATCAAATTTTAGTTTTTTTAATGTAAATAAATTACTCCATAACAATCGGTTTGGATTTACAAGGGGTCGCTCGACAACTGATGCAGGTGTTGAGCAATTAATTATTAATCAAACATATTTTCTGTGCATGGGAAAATTCAGAAGATGCTTGGGGTATATTTTGTGATCTTTCCAAGGGTTTCTACTGTGTTCACCATGAGACATTAATCAGGAAGCTACATCATTATGGTGTAAAAAACATTGCGCTTAAACTTATTATGTCATATCTAAATAATAGAACGCAAACAGTTGTTATTAATGGATGCAGTTCTTACGGATCGGTAGCATCTATGAGTTATCCTCAGGGCTCAGTTCTTGGACCCTTACTGTTCTTAGTTTATATTACCCTTACTTGGTAGGGAATAACTATGATATTGTATTATTTGATGATACTTCGTTGATTTTCCAACTAAAAAGGCAATTATTGAAATATGACGAAGTAAATAATGGTATATCAAAAATAGTACACTGGTGTAACGTCAATAATATGCTTTTCACTCGTTTTTTGTAACTTATTTATAACTTTATCCAAAGGCCATTGGGCTCCGTCCTTGGTTGCTCGTCGAGGTGTTCCGCTATGGGCCCCGGGACAGTCGACCTTAGTTGGGGCAACTAGGGGCGTGTACAGTTCCTTTAACAAACGTTAAAACTTGTTTTAGTACAGTAAGAGTATAGTTGAAAGAAAATGGCGTAATTTTGTGGTCTTTTTTAAATAAATTTAATTGATTTATCATGCTTCAAACACATTAAATGTCTTGATTATCGATAAAAATTAATCGTTATAGTCTTTTAATGCTGTGTAATTATTTTTGGTTTAAAAACAAATTACTACTTAGTTACTGTAAATCAAGATTGTTACATCTTAAAATAATTAATTTACAATAATATTTACTCTTATTTTTCTACAAAAAAGAGACGATACTCAATTCGACTGTGGTTTTTTTTAATGTGTGTTACCTCGTAACTTTTTCCTGGGGGAACCGATTTCTATGATTCTTTTTTATTTGAAAGCTAGTGATTCTCATGTGATCCCATATAAATTTGATCAAGGTCTGACCAATAGTTTTTGAGTTATTCTTAGTAATTTAGATTGAAGTCAGTTGTACAAAATTTTTAATTTTAATTTATTAGTTTAGCAAATACACTTTTTCGTTATGCTTTTGTCTGCAGGATCCTCTTCTCGAGTTTGGACGTAAAATAGCAATTGGTTTTACCTCCGGTGTCTTGGGATCATGCGTCAACATACCTTTCGATGTGGCCAAAAGTCGCATCCAGGGCCCTCAGCCCACGCCTGGCGTTATCAAATATAATTCCACCGTCGGCGCTATCAACTTAGTTTATAGAGAAGAAGGGTAAGTTTATTATTTTTGCAGCTTAAAGTAACTAATATAACTTGATATTCAATAATGTGTATCTAAAAGGATATGTAAAACTCTTAATTTTCACTGCATGCATTAAATTTTATTAGATTTAGGTTTTATTGTTTAATTTGTTTTATATTTCAGCTGTTAACTAGGTGGATTAACTCTTATTTATATTTAAACACTGTCTATTAAATACTGAACAGATTGCTCTTCCTCTATTTTACGAATTCAATAGAACTGGAGAGCTCTACAGTTCAATTGAATTCGTAAAGGTTGACTTAATTTGATCATATTGAAGTAGAACTGTGGACTCTCTTGTCTCTTGCCCTATTGTGTGACGTATATCCTAATGTAAGCCGTAACATTCTTCATACCTTTTATAACCACAAGCAAAGTTCAAATACATAATTTAAAATTTATATATATATATATATCGAATTAATCTTCTTTTTGTTTAATTCTCGCTTTTTGTCTTCGGTAAGGAATTCCAGAGTGGAGTAGCCTGAACAGTAACAGATTTCCTGGAGAATCCAGTCAAATGGTTTGGAACACTAATTTTATAATTAGACGAGGACCGTAGAACTCTGTCATGAGTTGATAACAGAAATTGAAATCTTTCCTTAAGATATAAAGGAGAAGCTGGATTGTTAAATATAGAAAAAGAACAAGCAGAATTCTAGAATTGCTCGTCTGTTTGATTCTGTGCCATTTAAGGTGATTATGATAAAGAGAAATATGGTCATACTTTCGAATCCCGTATATACGTATCTAATTCAATTATTCGTTTTTTTTTAAATCGCAAGCTTTTCGGACAAAATATAGCTTAGTTCGTTCTTGGCATTGCTCTCTGTTTATAAAGTTGCATCAGAATCGGTTCAGCCATTCACCCTTCATTTTTATCAGCAACTGAGTGAAATGATTTGTTCGTTCTTTTTTTTTTTTACTTTTTATAAGCCAGAGTTTGACCACAATCCCACCTGGTGGTAAGTATTGATGCAGCCTTAGATGGTAAATGGCACTGTCTTATCGTAACAAAAGCCTATGCCTAAGCCTTCCCATGTGATTACAAAATGTGTGTCTTCAACGCAAGAGTTTACAATCTTTGTCTAAATCACCACATACTATCAGGTGGTACTACTCAAGCACTAGCTTAAATTAGTTAAAAAAGGTAAATAATTAAAAAAAATTAAAATGAAACAATGACTTTGAAAGCTAAGTTCTCTTGACCTCTTTTCTTTGTCTCTGTAAATACGTAAAGTGATATTTTGCAGAAAATTGTTTTCCCGGGCTTGGTGCCAACGTTGAGTTAATTCTGTGCTATTTTACAATCATCTGTTGATTGTTGTCTGAGTAGTCTGCAATTTGTGAATATTCTTTGACAAATAAGTTTAAAGAGACGTCAGGATTGCTTACTGCATTGAACAGCAGCTATTTACCACTGGTTCGAAATAAACCTCTGCCCTGGAGACCGCAGGCAAGAAACCCAGCGGGACTTTAAATACACCCACACAACACACAAACACTCACGCCTGTCACCCAGAGGGGTAGGCAGAGACTACGGACTTCCATTTGGCGCGATCCTTACACACCTCTCTCACCTCCTTTACATTTATATATCTACGCATACACGCTCGTCGGTTAAGGGTACTCCTAATCTGGCCCATTTTCAATGTATCGCCGATTTGGTCTATAAACCCTCGTCTAGGGCGTCCCTTCCCGACCCTGCCGACTTTAAAATTGGTACATTAAAATTGTTGTATAATTAAATATTATATAAGTATATAAAATTCCCAATTAAATCTGCATTCGTTTAGCAGTCTACAATTGTAGTAATAGTTTTTTTGCGTAGTACTTCGATATGACTTCTGGAATACCATATTTTCAACGCTCGTCAATATCATTTGAATCTATATTTTTGAATCACTTTTCAGTATAACACTGAATATCTGTCTGGAGGCGTTCCAAGTATTCCACGGCTGATCTGTTTTATGCAGGAGAACTAAATTAGAATCATACATATTGTAACGTATGCACTACATTTTTAAACAATTTTTTTACATAAATGACGTTAAACGCGTATTTTTAATGCATCCTACCTTATCGCTAACAGAATATGTATTATACATGCATTTTATATTATATGGTAAATTGATCATGTATATCTGTTGGCCAAATATATTGCAAATAGATATGATTGACACTACGAACTTTAACCTAACTGTTAATAAACTTTCTCTTACCTTGTGTTAGGATTTATCAATGATACTTCGACAGTAATATGGAAATTAAGTGACTCTAAGGTCAACTTATCAGTCTAGTCATTAAAAAATATTAAGAAAGAAACAAAGAAAAAACTATTTATTTAACACACACATTTTAATCAATGAATTATTTATGTAGTTTGTATTAACATACATATATATGGTATGTATATATTTTTAGAGATAGTAAAGCAAGCATTACACCTGCCACAATAGGTCACTACGCCACGGGTTGACTGGCAGAGAATGCCGACAGACATTACGTCCGCCAATTGTTACCTTAGTTGTAAGCTGTTAAGATAAAGAATAAATAAATATATAAACGCAAGAGGCAAAAATATACACGCATCAGTCTTAGGGCCTAGCCAGATAGAAAACGTAAGACAAGGACGCGTGGGCGCAGACGGTGCGCGGACCGCGGCCATGATCTTTTAAAACATAGAAAAGACGTGGCACGGACGCCGCACGGACGCGGCACGGACGCGGCACGGACGCGGCTGGCGTCGCGAAAACTGGGGGCATTGTAGTTTTCATGTCTTCTTCCGAAGGTAAAGATGTATTAGCACTGTTATATCTCGCTCATATGCATAGGGTTAGACGTTACTGGGGTTGGGTTTAGAATCAAGTCGCCTGAATTTGAGGAGTCTTACTGTGGGGGGGGGGGGGGGGTCAAGAGGGCTTATCTCAAGCTTCCCCATGCATTTTTAGCTGCCGGAGCGGCGTCAAAATATTTAAAATGATTTTCTAAAAATATTCATAAATCACTAATTAATACCTGAAACGGAACAATTACTCTAAATTCTTACTTTTTTAAGTTTTTTAAGTTGACATTGACAGTGACAGATATACTCGATTTCGCGACTCCGTTATTCCGTTGCTTCTGAGTTTACGTGAATGTGCTCCTTATTGTTATTATCTGCCTCCTGTTTTTGACGACTTCGCTACCCCTCTTGACACCGATTTTTTGCATTTTTACGACGTTTTTGGAAATGGTGGAAATAATAAAATATGTTTACGTATTAAAGTAATTTTAAAAGTTAACATTTTGGTGCTTTATTTGGTGCAAGAGCGAGCGAAGCGAGCTCGGGACTTGGGGCACCCCGGCTCGGACAGGTTAGGTAACAAGGGAGCGATCAGACCCCTCTATCCCCTTATTTTTTATAAACCATCCAGAAATAGAAGCCCCGCTTAGCGGGGCTCCGTCGACTACACTTCGGTATTACTTCAGCGGAGAGGGGAAGCTACCCTCCCTCCCTATTAAAGCAATTTTTCTCAGAAATCATTCAATAAAAATTTTAATCTGCAATATTTGATAAAAAAATAGGCACGTCAGGTGGGGAAAAAAGGTGGGGGCCGAATCTACCCCTCCCTCACCCTCTGCCCCCGCCGCCCACATATCAAGGTGACTTGAATCTAAACCTTAACCCGTTACTGGTGTTTTCTATGTTTTGCTTCGCGACGCGTCTATTAATTTTGTGGTAATCGATTCCACAAGGGAGTTGCACGTGGAAGAAAACTTCTTCTAAATCGCATAGTGGTGGACCGCCAATCATTCAGATGATATGGATGGTATCGCGAGTTTTGTTGCGATGTGCGATGGTGAAATTGAGTGGCTGGACTGGAATTAGTACGAACAATTCCTCAGAGCACTCCCCGTGGTAGATGCGATAAAATATGCAAAGAGATGCAACATATCTTCGCAGCGCCAGTGAATCGAGCTGATCGGAAACGACTCGGCTCGGTCGTCGTCGATTCGAACCACTCTGCGCTGGATGCGGTCAAACAGAAGGAGCTGGCACTGGGGAGCCCCAGCCCAGAGATGGGAACAGTATTCCATGTGAGGCCGAACCTGCGCCTTGTAAAGTTGCAGGCGGTGTGCTGGCATGAAATACTGTCCCGCACTGCTGAGCACGCCAAGCTTTTTAGAGGCCAATTTGGTCTTCTCTTCCAAGTGACCACGAAAGTGCACGTCATTCGATATGTCGACGTCGAGGATTCCCATACTGGCAGGGGCAACAAGGGGAGTGCCTTGAAACTGAGGAGATACGACAAAGGGGTTATTTTTAGCGGTAAACGCGCAAACTTGTGTCTTCTGAGGATTAAACTGGACTAGATTTAGGTGCCCCCAATCCGAGACTTTGTTAAGCAAAGACTCGATTTCAGACACAAGTTTGTTCTGGTAGTCGGCGACGTTTTCCCGAGAAACATTGGCACGGCTGGTGTATAAAGCATCACCAGTGCTGTCGTCTGCATAGCAATGAATGTTACCGGCTTGCAACATATTATTGATATGCAGAAGAAACAGCGTTGGTGATAGCACGCAGCCATGTGGAACACCTGCGTTAAAAGGCTTGTAATCGTCTACTACGACCTTGATGCTCCGATCTGCAAGAAAATTGGTGATCCCATTGCACAATTTCTCGGTAAGCCCATAGGAAGGAAGCTTCGAAAGAAGCGCTTTGTGCCAGACCCGATCGAAGGCCTTCGCTATGTCCAAACTAACGGCCAATGCCTCCCCCTTGGACTCGATCGCCTGCGCCCATATATGTGTTAGGTAAACAAGAAAGAAGATCACCAGCTGAGCGACCCCGACGGAAACCGTACTGGCGGTCACTAATCAGCTGGTGCTCCTCAAGGTACCGCATGAGCTGGCATTTAATAACGGACTCCATTATTTTCGAGAACAAGGAAGTGATGGCGATAGGCCTGTAGTTGGGTTGGTTGGGT